ATGCATATATGTGCCTCATTTTGTTTTTTGGATATATCCACCTCATGAATGTAGTGCAGTTAAATTAATTTTATTGAAATGGCGATAGAGCCCAGTAATCGATTGCTAAGTAGATTGTACCTTGTCTTCACAAGCAAAAATATTGCCACAATGCAATGCACCAGCAAAATTTTACTTTAAAATAAATTAGTTTATTTACAAATAGTTTTTCATTATTGAAGGGTTTGACTGTTACTCAATGGCTACTATGAGCTATTACCTATATTCATATGGCCCATTTTAAAATTGTTCATCAGAACATAATTTTAATTGAACGTGCCTTGGATTCGACCGTCCATCTGTCCCTCCCTCCAGCCAGAACAACTTTTTGTTTAATATGGTATATATAAAATATAGTTTGATTCTCATCATGCCCCATGGTGTAAAGTAAGTCTCCAACTATTAACCACTCCATTTTTCTAGCTTCTCTATGTGCTATGAAAAAGGGCCATTGTCGAAAACATCAACTATTTAAAATGTTTGCTTTTAAGGCAGTGTTATTAACGAATATGTTGCACCAAATAATTTAATCAACGTAAACATGGGTATGTTTAATTCTGATATCCTATCTACACTGAAGCCATTCAATCAACATACAGTAAGGCTGTCGTTTTAATGTCCCGGACCATCATCCATAATATATGCTCCATCACTTTCATCTTTCATAAGAAACAAAAATCATACAATAGTCAACATGATACGCAGTGAGCATGGCCTAAGGTGGTTTATCATAATAGAACCACTCCAACACAGGACAGAGTCTTGCCTGTGTTTGTCAATTAAGCCATTATGGGTAGTCCATGGCATGGGAAACGTCTCATTTCACCCGCATAAGGGCTCATCAGCAAGCCGTATCCGGCTTCTGGGTGCTGTAAACGCCTATAATACTGGAGGTCAAGACACCACTGGTAAGTCACGAGGCACATGCGTTTTACAACAGCGATATGGTATTAGAATTCACCATTTACAGGACAGTACTATGTTTTATTGCTGCAATCAATCAGTCCACGATTCAAACACGCTATACAGTATTCAGTCAAAAAGCCGAGACGGAAGCACGAATGGCACAGAGATAATTAAACAAAATTTCGATTTAAAGCTTTCGTGACTGCAGGGATTCATATTCTTGGTTCTTTCGGTAAAGTCAGGTAGAAGGGAAACAATAAAATAATAAAAATATAAAACAATACAATTCTCACGACGTTTCGACTGCAACACAAGCAATCATCATCAGGTGTGAAAACCACAGCGATATGGTATTAGAAAAATACCATGTGAAAACCACACCTGATGATGATTGCTTGTGTTGCAGTCGAAACGTCGTGAGAATTGTATTGTTTTATATTTTTATTGTTTCCCTTACACGTGACTTTACCGAAAGAACCAAGAATATAATACGTTGGGATGTTGCAGCCCGGAACTGGGCTTTGCTCACTATTCGTGCAGACTGAATCATGCTATTCAGGCAAGGTCTGTTGACAAAAATGATTGAACCGAATTTTTGGAATTTGTAAAACCGACTGTTGTTTTTTTTTTCTTCCAGATGCGCATACTCACAGATTGCACTGATATCCCAACTAAACAAAACAAGTAAACATTTGGCTCGCCTTGGAAAATTGTGTAATAATAAACCGTGGAACAAATCGGAGAGGGAGGGGAGTGTTTATAATATTTGCCAAAGGGAAACAAGACCCAATCTATCAGCTGATGGGGCTTTCAGATTAATAAATCCCCCTAGCACCTGATAGAGACCTTACCATTTACAGCGAGAGCTGTTTTGTAAAACGGAAATGAGTGGAAATTCGCACACATTTTTTCCACTGTATCTAACTTAATATATAATATCTTAAATAACGTATATTTCAAACTTCGACTTAATTGCGTTGTACAATGTTGAAATCGTGTTTTCTGCAGTCGTATTTGTACAATGTGAATTTGCTCCCTGCTTTTCTTTATTTACAGGAACACAGGGCACAATAATATAGGTTGATTATTATGGATAGTCGTACATTTTACTCGTGGCAGTGCTGCCTTGTGCCAAACGTTCCGACTCAGAGCCACTTGGTGAACGGTGAGCACGGTGGTTCGCGCACTGCGCTACAAACCCGGTCACCGAATTAGATTCCCAGCCACAGTGAAGATCGGACGTATATTATACATAAAATAACAAATAGATGTGCAAAATATACATAGCATGTCAGCAGCAAGCCTGAATATCGACACAGGTGTCCACTATCCTTATAAAAACCAATGCTGCTGATATTGTGTGCTTCTCAGCAGGCCGTATGGTCAATGGGATGTAAAATTTTTTTTTTATGTGGATATAAATATGGGCAAGAGGAGTCCCGTCTGCATATTTAGTTTACTACTTATATTGTCGACAAGTAGGCTTAATGCATGTTTATTTATGTGTTTGCTATGTCAGGCTGCTGGGTGATTATATAATTACCAATGCATGCATGTGCTGTGTTTGTACCGAGACAATTTAGAGTAAAAGCCTTAATGAGCCAACAGCATTGCTGCTGAATCCAAATAATGTACAGGACGGCCTCACAAAGGACAGTTGAGCGTCAATTTAAAAAAAACACACCACACACACGCGCCTGCAATAGACTAATTGCCAGATGCATGCAACACTCGGGGGCTTTTGTGTATCACCTTGCCTCGCAGTGCAACAAGTGAGGAGGTTGTTATCATCGATTGTGAAGTTGCATGTGTGTTGAGACTGCCAATCCGGACAGAGGGGAATAAACGGGCGCGGCACGAGTTGGAGAAGAGATGGAGCTGATGTGGTACGGGAGGATGCGGAGCTGAGTTGACTCGTTTGTGGCTGGCAGCAGTAGTGTCAAGATCGTTCTCTGGCGGTGGGAAGGTCGTGAAGAACGCTACCGGGCAGTTCGGAGGCAGTCGGCCGGCCCCCCCAAAACAACAACAACGGAGGGCAGAGGAGCGAAAGCTCACGTACGCAAGTCGGCACAAGTACGGAGGGCAAAGGTGGTTGCCATCTGCCAGTCACGTCAACCCGTGGCACCCGGGTCTGTCTCGTGACCTGCCAGCGAGCCTTCGACATTTCGCGTGGCCTCAACGTGGACCTGGCCTGGCACGATCGCTGCGGCGTCGTCCACCGCCACTTTAGTTGCGAATGGCGGCGGCTGTTGTTGTCCGGGGCCCATTGCAGTTCTGCAACAACGCCACACGTGGCCGCGGAGTGACCCAGCCAACTTGGGCCGCTGGGGACAACACGGGGTGGCGGGGTTTGTGACCATCATCACCAGGGCGCTCTGGGGTGCCGTCAAGCATTGGTAACGTGCACAATTTGACGGACAGCGATGAAAGTGCAGTACGCGTTTGTTCTTAGGCCATGTCCGCCTGGGCGAACTCAAGCCGGCACACGGCAAGCACTCACTCCCTCGCTCCGGGCCGGGGCTTCGCGGCTCCGCTCCGGATTTTTGTATCCACTTTGTGTGTGTCGGGTTTCTTTTTTTTTCCTGCTCCACCCCCAAGTTGCGGATAACCGGATCTTGGACTCTTGCGAAATACCTCTGGTTGTCGATTTGACGCTAATCGCGAATCTGTTTCGTATTCCATTCCAGGTTGTGTTTTTTAGGAGGCTAGTCTAGGCCACCGGTGTGTGGGATCCAGTTTAGAGTTTTAGTTTCGGAGTCACTCCGAGCTGCGTACTCCGTGCCAGGTTTTTGGTTTTAGAGGTTGACTCCGGGCTCCGCGTTTGTTAGTTTCGTTCCGGGTTTTGAGTGAGAGTTGATTTCAGGTGCCGGGTTTTCCTTTCGCGTCGAGAGCTCCACTCATGGTTTCCCTGGGGGGTTGGTGACTCCAGGCTCTTTGTTTTTCTTCCAGGTTGACTCCAGGCTCCGCGTCTGAGAAGTCCACATCGGAGTTCGGCCCAGTTTCACTCCAGCTCCCAGTGTATTTTCTGCCTGCAAGAGTGAATTTCATGATTCGTGTCTCACGAAATAAATCAAGCGTTCGGATACAGTCCATCTCAAAAACACTCCAAACTTATATTATGGACTGCAGGCGCCAGGTCTGTTAAATCAACCCCACGATTCGGTATCCGTGTGTGTGTGTTTTCCCTGCAAATTTTATTTCACTATTGAGGCTAGCTTTTCCCCATAGACTTTACTCAACACTGTGTTTTTTTTCCTACAGGATTTATTCTGCATTGCATGTTTTGCTGTAGAATAGGATGCAGCCTCTAGACCGAAACCCAGTCAACACGCAACGTTGGTCCAACGTTCCATGTTTAATGGGAAGCGTTCACCACAAGGTTCAAGGCTGTGTTCTGTAAAATGTGCTCCAGGTGCCGATGGAGTCGACTCCAGCCTACATCCCAGAAAATATGGAACGTTGGTCCGACGGTTCCAACCACATTCCAACGTTGGGCCAACGTCATGTTACCTGGGATATATTCACCGTTAGCCATGATCAATCCAGTTGGATGGTGTACATATATAACGTAAGAATAATCCGTGTTTAGCTTTGAAATGCACTCCGATTTGTTTTAAATATATAATGGACTCATGCTTAGATTTAGAATATACTCCATGCTCCGTGGTTGGATGTAGAATGTGCTCCAGGCTCCTAGTTTTGATTTAGAACGTGCTCCGTCCGCGTTTTCTCGTGCAGTGGACTTTCGGTTCAGTTGTTTAGATTGACCGCGCAGTGTGATTGCTTAAATGTTCCGAGTTTAGATGTGGGCACCATTCCCTGATTCGTGTTACTGTATTGAGGCTCCCCGTGTTTTTTTTATATACAATGCACTCCACGCTCCGTGTTTATCTGCGCTCCATCGCGTAAATCCGGGGCTCCGTGCTTTGCGAATGCCACCTCGGTTCTCGCCTCCGCCACGCCCAGTACAGTTCACCACAGCCCCCCCCCACATCGCCTCCGTCGTCTCGCGTCCCGCCCCCCGCTGTATCCTTGCGCGAGGTCAAGTGTGCGGCACGTCGCGCCTCGCGCGCGCGCCTGTTGTGTTCCTGCGCACGGTTACATTTCACTACGGGTTAAAAGCGCGCTCGAGCACACACACACAAAAAGGTTGACAACGAAAGGCAAGCGGTCAGAACGGACGATAATAATCAAACCGTGAAAAACAACACCAACAACGATTTTTTTTGTTTTGCCCTCAAGCCGCGTCTCGTCGCCCGTCGTCGCTTGCGAAAAGACGCCTCGGCCCGGGGACTATATCGGCTCTCGACATGGCGGCTGTGGAGTAGCCGCTCTTCACCCACCTCTTTATCTCCTTGTTTTCATCTCCTACCTTCTCATTTTTCTTCTCGTTGCTCTCCTCCAGCACCCTCGTGTTCAGAGGAGGCGGCTGTCGCACGGGGCCCCGGCCATGAGGCCCGGAGTCTGGGGCCGGGGAGGCTGAGCGGCTTTTGTCTCCTCCTCCTGCTGCTCCTCCTCCTTCGCCTTGTCGTCTTCATCTCAATTTCGCCTTCATTGTCCCCTCATCATCTCGCTCCTCTGGGTCTTCTTCTTCTTGGTCTTCTTCTTGGTCTTGGTCGTCGTCGCAACCCCGGCCCGGAGATGAGTGTACGGGCGCGGCCCGAGAGAGCGGTGGACAACTGAGAGGTGAGGGGCCGAGCGAGACATTGCGTGAAAACGTTCTCTAGTTCTGTACACAATTACAGCTTTATGACACGACTAAATTAACGTTATCGCGTACACACAGCATGTAGCACATCGAGTACAACGGTATCAGCCACGATGGACACACAGGCAAACATTGCCACAGGAAGACGCACTCCTGTGTTGTCGCTCTTGGTTAAATGCTGAGAGGGCTGTGTGAGATCTATTACATTATAAATCTACACGGTTTTTATCTCTACACAGTCACATAAACACAAATATACCACAGAATAGAACAATACCACGGGTAATACACTAACGAGCACTGTCACAGGAAGATGTCCTCCGGTATAGTTAGTGTCTGTATTACCCGAGTGATACATTATTACATCTTTAGTTCTCTATAATTAGCACATTGTATACAAATAGCAAACATGTCACATACATAGAATACACGAATTTCACAAATTACACACTAACAAACGCGAAGGGGAAATATCCTACTCTGTGATGTTGAGATGCGAGGGCTGTGTGAGATTACATTACATATCTACACAATTACATAACCATATCGAATACAATAACCACATTAACAAACTACATGTCACAGGAAGATGACCTGCTGTGTTGATATGGCTCGAGGTTGAACTTCGAGGGTTTGTGTGTGTGTGTGGATTTGATATTAGATTGTGTATAGAATTATACATAAACATAAACCACAACGTATACTTACAACCACACAACACAGGCATATAGAGTTATTTCAATGTTATTTCAATGTGTGTACTCATGTGAGGTGTTGATGCGAGCTTGAGGGCTTTGCCATTAAACCTTTGTCTACATAATTAGAAATAAGCATACTACGAAGTAAAACAAAATACCACCGCACCACTTAAACGTACACAAGACATGAAGGTTACACTAATACTGTGTGTAGGGGTTGGTCCCGTGTGTAGATGTTGGAATGGTTCGTGTTATTTACATTATATATGTGCATAATCATACGTACACATTTCCACAAACTACATCATCAGCGCGCTTCAGGAATACTGTATTGTGTGTTGACGTGTATTGATGTTTAATTGGGAGGGTAAGCTTTGTGTGTGGCTATCAGAGATGAATATATCACGTAAACCGCAAGAATATCACGCTTCGTGTGGACTTAATATCCTAGCTGTCATGCAAGCATGCAGTCCTGGTAGTGGTGTTCATGTGAGGGTTGTTGATGTTTGACTCAAGAGGTCCAGGAGACGACGTGAACGCGAAATAAACACCACACAGAGAGAACGGTCGTACGTTCTCGTTGCATGCAGGACTAAATTGTGCCTTGCTTGTATGAACTCATTGTGGGAAGATGTATAAAATTACCGTACTGGCAATTTGTAACACAATGTGTGAGGGGTATTGATGTTGAATTGAAGAGTAAGGTGTTCGCGTGTCAGAATGATAAATGCCATAAACCCACGGTGAATACGACATGCACCACATATAAACTAGCGTGTGCCCTATATACGTTGCTGTGCGCGCAATATTGATTTAAGATACTTATAGTCTAAAGGTGATGAAAATGGTACACTATTCTTATAATTTCCACCAAGTGCAAGGATACTATAGAAACATGGATTACATATGGGACTACCTTTACACTTCAGACACAGGACGTGAACACGGCGGGTATGGGGAGGGGTTTGATGGGAGGTGTGGAGACGAGGCGATGGCTCTCGATTGATTATAATACAGTGGAGCGATGTGTATCAACGGGTCCACGCGTGTAACCTAAGAGTATAGCGACTGCAAGTAAGTCTCAACAATATTGCAGGACTGCTAAAGCAATGCTGCATACTGTAAGGAACACCGTCAACGCGAGTACACGTGTCATTGTATTCAGTGTACATTGACACCACTGTACTGTGGACATGGTGTACATGAGTTGCCACAAGGCGTGCGTGCGTGCGTGACTTTTAAATTATGACTTTTAAAAAAATATATGTTTTCTACCCACGTGACTTTACCGAAAGAACCAAAGAGTATAGTGTATTTATTACAGTATGTATTACATGACAGTAGTACATTGTTTACGTTGGTAATACGTACTGTTCATGTAAATGGGTTCACGTACTAAGTGGTGATGTGCAGTGTAATTCAAGCAATGGATTGACAAACGTTTGCGAGAAGCTTTATAGCACAGCAGTACCCCAAAGTCAGTTCACGCCTTCATGCATTGGTGGGTCAAAAATAATATTTTTTTCTATCTACGTGACTTTACCCGAAAGAACCAAAGATTATGGATTCCTGCAGTCACGAAAACTTCAAATCAAGATTTATTTTTTCCACTATTCACATTACACGCAGTTTTTTTTACACGTGAACAAGTTCGCTTCGGCTATTCCCCCCCCCACACCGTCATTCACACATCTTCTGCACGTACACCAACATCACTATGTGATATGCGCACATTTAAATGTGATCTGATGTATTCCAGTTGTACACGCAAAATGCCCAGATCCATATAACAACAGCCTGGTCCGTTTCACAGCACGTATTATAAACAAGAAACATGTACCCTTCGGTGCATACTGGCTTGTACGTACGCATGTTCACACAGACTGGCGCATACACGCAACTCCACAAGATGAACTAGCCGATGTTTATGAACGTAGACATAATTTGGCCTACATACGCGTGCGCACTAATGGCCTGTCGACGAGACACACCGCACACCTGTGTGTGTGTGCACAGTCCCGATCGTCCCGTGGGCGCTACGCTGTCGAGGTGTTAACTACCTCGCCTGGTATACAGGAGGCCTTGGGTTCGATCCCAACACCTGACGCCTGCTGTATATTTGGAGTTTGAATGTTCTCCCCGTGGTCGCGTGGATTTTTCTCGGTGTCCTCTGTTCCCCCCCCCCCTACACATTTAGAAACGTGAGTATTTGGCTACTGTTCCACGTGATAATCCACTTAATTGGGCTATAATTTGTGTCCAGGTCGCTTCTGAAAAAGAGCTATATAGCTCAGTGGACATTACCTGGTAAAATAAAAAAAAAGTTTAGTTTAATCCTTATAGGCAGGCCGTCGGGGTCACTTGGGTGAGCCTTTATTGAGGCCGACACACGATGGAGTGGTACGGCCAAGACCACGCCAGGTACTGATTTAAGACTGAGCCACCCTAGGATATGTTGATATACTGATGTTACCCGACCCACCACAAACGCCTTTATTAACGATACACAATCATACTTGCTTGTACAAAGACTCCCCTTGTAGCCATAACAGACTTTTGGGGCAAGTGCTTATTTCGAGCACATGAAGGCAGGCACGGCACGTGGTGGGTGGGTGGTCAGCAACCACGCCCGGCCGCCTTTGTCCCTGGTGGCGATGTTAACACATCGCACCAGGTACTCATTTTAGGCCGAGTCTACCTAGAGGATCGGTTCAGGTAATCGTCACTGCTTTTTGCCGTGAGCGGAAACCGAACTCGGGTCGCCGGGTTCGTAGCGCAGTGCACTAACCACTGCACCACCGCTCCACACACATTTGTCCACACATTCTCACGCATAAACCTGTATATACAGACACCCACACGCATAGGCCTGTACACAACCAGTCTTGACAGAATGGTGGGGCAAGCGCTGTTAGCGAGCATCTATGAAGGCCAACACGGCACACGAGAGGGTGAGTGGCCAGTACCACGTCGTGCCGCCTTTGTCTCCTGAATGCTCATGTTTACACACCGAAACCAGGCAGGTGCTCGCTCATTGCAGGCCGAGTCAGGACCGGTTGAGATATTCGTCACCGATGTTGACCGTGAGCGGGAATCGAACACAGGTGGCCGGGTTCCTAGAGCAGCAGTGCGCTGACCCCCTACAACTAGCGCTCCCATAGCACAACGCAGCACACATTTGTGCATTTATTAACCCATCCACATACACAGACTGGCCTCAACGAGGTCACAGCCCGTGTTGAGACTTTACACTCGCATAGTTAAGTGTTGTTAGCGAGCACCTGTTTTAGTTGCTTCAGAGTTTAGATACTGCACTCGAGAATCGGAATCAACTGGATTGTACCACAACCAATAACACAGCCTTGCAAAGGCTGTAGGGATAGTTGGGGTGAGAGTGAGCATCTGTTAAAGCTGGGGGAGCACACAATTGGGACTATAGCCAGCAAACGCGCATCGTTGTCTTATCAATGCTGATATTCACACCACAAGAAATTGAGGCCAAGCTGACATCGAGGAGGTGCGGGACATGTTCAGATACCACGTGTCGCTGATGTGACGTGGAATCTAGCCGAGGTCGCACACAATCGTACACAGTAAGTTATACAGACATGCCCACGTTTTACACGGGTGGTGTGTATATATGGCGTTAGCACTTTCCTCAACAGTCTATACGGTAAAATTATATTCAGGATTTTTTTTTATGTTTGTACATTTATGCTGCACACACGCTGAAATGTGGAAACGCAAAGGGACACAGTAACAATGCATGTACACATTCCAGATGCAGGGGTACACATACCCACGAGCACATCCAAGTTAACATCGCCACATACATACACACATGCTCCCCGCAATGACTTGTACACGAGATACAGTTACACATAGGAACACATTACAAGTGGGGACACGTACAGGAATATAGACACGAATACATGAATAAGGATGCATGTAAACGCACATGTATGCATTCAAAGACACGGATGTGCAGACATACTTAACGAGCCTCCATTCTAACACATTCAATGGCAAAGACAAGCACATGCATTACCACAGCGCTCACACACGTCCTGGAGGCCCCAGGCCCGTGTAGTCTAGGTGTGTGAGTCATGGTGTGTGTGTGCCGAGGAGGAGCAGTAGGATATAGCCCCATCATGCACAACAGCATGGTGGCCACAGCCGAAAATATGGCAGTGCGTTACGTTATTTTCGTACCTTTTATGGAGACCAAGTTGGTAGTGTGGCAGACAGCACTCGTAGAGGAGCTTATCAAGAGGCTAGGG